CGCACTTAAACACACGGCTCATTATATCTATTACTAGTTGAAGCAAACATATGGTTTTAAAAATCCTTTCTGCTAAACTTATCCTGGCAGACACCAAGTCGTCAAAAGTTATTTCACACTGTACTATTCAGATGCAACATAACAATGCGGCATTTAGAAGGCAATATACGAGACACAACACAGATAGGTCATTTTCGCTATCGAACGCGTAGATGTAATCTACTGTCACAATTTCAAAAGATAGCTAATCTAAAAGTAGGGTTAGGTTTGTTTTTATTTCAATGATTGAGATATATTCCATTATTTCACAATGAAACACTAAGCCATGTAAGTAATGAGAATTACTAGGCAGGACATTATTCATACATGTTCAAATTGATCACAGATTTATTGTCAACTATCTAAGCGCAACCGTTTCAGTGAGGCATCGTTAAAAATGTGTTTTTAAGTTAAACACTGCTATATTTATTTGCACCACTGGTAACTGGCATGTTGTCATCTAAGCTTCATATGGTGTGAGTGACATTAGTGTTTATTATTTCGTCCAAATAGTGTGTGAAATGAATAATTTTGAGCATAATCTTAATTAATCTATTCATTTGTTGTAATATTTTTCAACCTAAAGTTCCACATTAAGCTTACATAGAAACATACCAGATACTGGCAACGCTTTATTTGCAAAGTTTTAAAACAGCAATATCGGAAACTTAAATTTTGTTTGAGTTCAGGATGTTCCTTGAAATCTACTGTTGAAAATTAAACGATGACGACGTTTTGTACTTTCATAATCTTTTCAGGATGATTCTTGATGTAGCCAAAATATGTTTACTAGGTGGTCTGGAGTTGACTGACATAACTTCTTGGCGTCAATAAGTATGAAAATTTTCTTTGAATGCAGATCATATATTATTAAATGACTTTAATGAGGTCCTCAGGAAAACTCTAAGAGTAATTTGGAATTAACTTGTAACTATAATCCATTTTTTCTAAAATACCGTAAAGCACTTCATTTCTGTGACCAAATCCATGCGCTTCAGGAAGTTCACATAAACATACACCTTAAAAGAGGAGTAAACAGTTTCTCAATGTCATATACACTTATAAAAATGTTAGTTTCAAAAGAAAATGAGGGTAATAAGAAATCAATAAATGTGTCTTTACGAGATATCAAGTCAAATCAATTATGATACCGCGTTATCATGCGTAAAAGTAACTAGATATGTTTACCAATATAAGCCACAAGTAGTCATGATATAATTTGAGGAAGTTTATGAATACCGTTTTCAAATTATCAAATTTCTTAAGTTGTCCTTAAATTTTAAAGGACTAAAACACCAATATTTTATTAGTGATGGATCGTGGCTAACAGTGGAATCCAGGATGCGCATTTTTATTGAGATTAAAATATAAGATTACAAGTCTGTATTCTTCGAGATAAAAGTATATAAGTATTTAATCAAGGCGAGTTCAGTTTTTTGCTAATCCTTATGTTGAAATTTTGTGCTGAAATTGTACGTTTGCAGCCGCTGAGGAAAATGTTAGCATCAAGTGAAACCCAGCAGTGTGAAATTCCACCATTATTTTTCCTGTAAGTAAAAATACCTGAAGTAAACATTGACATTTTTCTAACACTAGAAAATCAATACTGGGATATGGACTGGATTGAACTCTGAACTAAAAATGTTCGTAGCACTTACTTTCACCATGCCAAACCATTTTGTTCAAGTCAATAGTAAGTCACAGAAAGTACCAAGAAGATTAGCTGTCTGAATCGAATCATTCATGGAGCATTTCTTGAGATTTCTGTTGGAAACGAATAAAGTAGTCTTGTATTCTTTCGATAACCTCTATCTGACTAGTAAACACAACTGATGAATTTCAGTAGTTCTCAGTTACTCACCTTGTTCAGTAGAAAAATTTATAAGCATATTATTTTCATCAAAGTACCATATAGCCTCTTACCCTGCTTCTGTTCTTGTAGAAAGTAAATTTGGAACTGACAGATATATTGTATTTTTCTGGAGTACGTCAACCAGTTAGACGAAATGCTTCATTATGATGAGTTATTTACAGAACTACAGTTTGAAGTCCGTGCTGACAAATCTGAAATATGACAGTGCTTAACCTTATCATCTTAATCTACCGTCGCTGTTTCGAGATTACCAAACAGTCTTGACCAACAATCATAGTAATCTGTAGGCTGAGGAGCTACACTAGTATTTTCCGTATAATATCGTAACTCAATGATTATTTTAGTGTCTACAGCTCTACTTGGAATATGTCATTCAACCTTATCACTTCTCTTAACCAACTTCACATATGCTATCAACTGTTGCTTAGATGTATGGTACGCTAATGTATTGAGTTAACGTTGTTTCAAATGAACACTAGACTGGGACAAACAAAATCATATTTTCGCTTGGCTCTGATACTTATAGACTAACTACAATCCAAGTGGACTGCCTCCAAATATCAAGTGCATAAATATAAGAGTTATGTTGACAAACTAACTTGTTTATACGTGTATGTTTCGTATAATATAGTAAAGGATCACTTGTAGATAAAATGTGCGACTGGGAAAAAACCACCATGCTGAAGGTACTAAACGACAAATTATGAATCAAATATTAGCTCAATTTGGAGATTTGTGGGTATCTATTTATTCACTTCAGGCTGGTATTCATCATGGACTGGTACCAGTTGAAAAAACACTGGAAACCTAGGAGCACTGAACAACTATTTCGTCCTATTATGAGACTCTTCAGCAGTTCGCACTGGATGTGGGTTGGGCCATACCGTGAACTGACGGAAGCTATTGGCTTACAACCCAGTGGCCCCATGGTAACGTAATGGTTGCAGAGCCCACAGGTCCTGGGCTCGACTCCTGGGGGTCATGGCGCGCGCTGCTGAGGATTCCCATAATAGGACGAAACAAGTGTCCATTCTTCTAGGCTTCCGGTGTTCCTCCAGCTGATGTCGGTTCATGATGAATACCAACCTGAAATCAAAGGTTAAACAAAAAATCACGTAGTAGTAAGTAAACCATCACTGATAAGTGTGCTATAACAGTTGCTTGGCACAATTCGAGTCACTATTCCTCTGTTATTCATTTGACATGAAAACCCTTTAAAGCCAAGCTGTCTACATTTTACGAGAGGAAATCAAGTAGTTCAGCAAAAAGATCCCTTCGGCTATTTCATTCTCCGAGCTGTACAGTACCAAATATATATAATTTTCTTGAGTGAAAGTATTCAATGTTTTAAATGTTCACAATAATTTTCCTTGTTATGTTTAGACAACATGGTAGCAAAACCGGTAAGTTGCAATCAGTAAAAGATTACAAAAGTTGTTGTAGTTTGTGAATAACAACCCTATTTGCATAAATGTTGAGTAAAACAACCAATTTTCCACGATGGGTTACGTAACAAAGGGAAATACTTAGATGAAATTTTATCTATAGAGCATAGGAACTAATAAGACCTAGAATTGCGTAAGAAATGAACAAAATAAAATAACGGGAAGAAGGCGTGATTTGGCACGTACAAGACTCTGACCATGAAAGGAAACTTTTTCTTTTGTAGGCGAAGCTTCGGATTTTTTATGTGAGTAGTAAAAGATTCAGCAGTACAAAGGAGGCGAAAGCGTACCGTCTTCGACAAGTTCCTTTTCACCTACTAGATAACAGGATTTTGTCCAAACTTTCGCATATAATAAATTTCCGACTTATAAATATGACTGATAAGAAGCATTTCGATAACTAAGTGATATTTAACCACAGATTGGTCTGAACGATCAGGAAACCAATTTGCTGAGTGTTTTTAATCCTCTTGTCTTCATATCGCTTGTCATTCGCATAAATGGTTTTATCATGCAAACCACAGCAAGTGTTTTCAGACTGATATTACCAATATAAAGAGAATTCACCCAAAACAACTCATGGTCTTTTAAGGAGAATGCAGTTCTTCACTACGAAGAACCAGGAAACATATTTGGTTCACAATTCAGACGTTGTTTATGTTCAGACAAGAATTTATGTCCTGGCTCTCACCAGAAAATATAAAAACAGCTTGATGAACTAACAAAATATTGAAATTCTCAACACGATCCTGATCAGTTCGTAAAGAAACGAGTGTCTTGGATGTCTAAGTCTTTTATCGCTGACTATTCAACTATCAAAACTCTTATGCGTGGCTGTTGCCAGAGTCACTCATTACTCTGAACACTAACCAGTAGCTTATACAGGTTACAACCAAAAGCAGAGTAATTAGTAGGTATTTAAATTCTTCCGTAATACTTAATCTTTGACTTGTAAATGAAGCTTTTTGGTATACAAAGTGAATGCAACAGAGTATGTCAACACATAAATTTTTCTCTCCTGAATATGTTTCAGGTAGGTCAGCTGATTGACATTTCTTCCAAAAGTGCATGTATGGCGACTTTCTTACCCCAGTCAAAAGTAAATTTGAGAATAATGTACCTCCCATATTTTTGATCGTATCTCATCATAAATAAACAATAGTTCATTTCTATTTTGTTTATTTCATGTTGAGTAAGATTTATCTCCTCGTATTAAATGTTTTGTACTTTCATTTATCCCAGCAATGGTAGATACCATTGCAGCTAATAATAACCAACATGATGAAAGCATCTCTGGTAGTGATGTGGAATAATATTAATTGTGAAGGAAATACTGATATTTTTCAGATAGCTGACTATCTGCAATCTTCGCAAGGATAAAAATTAGCATTCAAAATTTGTTAACATCCACCTAAAGAAGTCTAAAAAACTGATGATAGCAAATGATGCAATTTCAGTGAATTAAGTCCACTATAATTTGCTTATATACATAACTGGGTATGCTCAGCGTAAATTAAGTGAACTGCTTGTATTAGGTAAGTTATCTTCAGCTTCGAAATGTCTATTCTGTTGGTAAATACGTAATTGAAATTAATTTTTTCTTTTCAATCAGCTAACCTTTAAAAATATTCACTATTTTACAGAACACTATGTAAAGAATAGCTTTCATTCAAACAATATCAACAATTGGTCGACGATAGATGCGCCAAACTCTTCTTCTGTCGGTATCATTGAAAAACCATTACAATCTACACATTCTCATTCCTTGTTTTAAATTTGACATCAGAGGTTAAAAATAATCCACAAAATTCCAACAAAAAGGACAAACCCTCAATTGAAAATGACCTGCTGCATGTAAATAATACTGATCTAAAATTTAATCTTTCACATGGTCGACATGATTGTTGTTGTCATCAATTTGGATTTCCACAGTCAACCTCACATGGCAGCATTAATCAAGACTGTATCGAGCACACTGATAAATCATCAAAATATCCCCATTCTTTACTTATTTATCACAAGCCTAGAATAACAAGTAAAACACTTGCTTCAGGGAATTGTTTAAATTTCTTGAATGAATTACATCATGTCAATCATCAGACACAAGTAAGCATTCTAATGAACGTTTTAATCGAGAACATGATGGTGATGTATTCGGACCACGTGTATGGCAAAATTGGAAGAGTTGGGTAGATTGATGTAATTCCTGAACATTTCTAGGCATATAAACATGCATGATCTGTACATACTAATCACGGTGTTAAATGAAGGACTTTGTCATCAGAATAGTTACTTGAAGATGGTTTTCCTCAGGACTCAAAATAAAAGCAAAAACAACTGGTAAACACTGCTGTCCCAATCCTTGACCCTTTGGGTATTTCAGTGAGTCTCAATGCTGAGGATATCTGAAATGGAATGGATGAATTCTCTAGTATTTTCTAGAATTATTTTTGGACCAATTAATCTCTGTTAATTTGAAGCAAAGTGATAAATCGCTGTTGGCGAATATGCTTGTTCAAACGTGAAGTTTATGACCACTTCTTTATCTTCATCTGAAAATTATTTCCTATCGTGATGCAACTCTCAGGATTAAATATGTTAAATTCCATCTGTATATTTTAATCAATCTTATCTCCGATTTCCACCTAAAGTGTACTACGATCAAGTTTTATTTGGTATGTAGCCCTTCTATTCTCTTGTTTTGGTATATGTTAAAATGCATTTATTTGTTGTTGAATATAAAATTGCGATGATTGTCATCTTCCTCTTAGTTATATTTTATCAGTTTTAAATTTAAAATTCTAGATATCCTGCTTTTGATAGCCAAATGCAGTTCAACACTGGTTAACAGAACACTGAGTATGCACACTTTTGACTAACATAAAAACATTCCAATACGAACCCAATCAGTATGCCTAGTAGCCTTAAGATTTTTTGTTCAAACTTGATAGAAGTCATGGACAAATACTAATAAACCATTCCTTGCTTATTTGCTCCAGATTTTCTGGGTTTCAAGAGCTGTTTAACCAGTATGAATTTACTAGAAAATCCCCTAAACAGTCTTTCTTCTGCGTGCTGACATCTACAAAATACACTTATTGTACGCCAATATTCATAATTTTATTAGCATTTATGTAATTATCATTTTAAATATCTGAGACAGCTATGGTTTGCCAAACTTTTATTGATACTCGGTGATGAATGAAGGTAAAATGAGAACTTGGGACATGGCAGAATCGGAACCAGCGACTACCGTCTTTCCTCCCTAGTACTCTTCCAAATGAGACACGATACCCGACTTCTGACCAGATTTTATCATGTAATTGCAATTTGCCGTAATGCGTTAGTAAAAAGTACGTCAAATTACCGAAAATTCAGTGCATGAAACAAAGATTTCTATGCACAGTCATAAAGTCTCCTAGAAAGTTTATCATGTAGATCATTGCTGCTAATCACCGGCTATAAAGAGATCATTACAGATACTTATTGCAGTTTCTTTTGAACAACGAAAAGAGGAACTGGACACAACGCATAAAACACCACACTGAACAAAGAAGGGATGAAGAGTGAACGGAAAGACAAAAGATACTTCTGTGACGCACTGGCAAGTGAAGCAGAACAACCTGCAGGTAGGGGAGATAGAGACTTCACAACACTATATCAAATAACCAGGTTACTATCTGGGAAGAGATCAACGTAGACGAAACCAATGAGAGATAACAAAGGGAGCCTAGTTACCAAAGAGGAGAAGAAAGGAAACTATGTGCTGATCACTTCAAAAAACTCTTGAATCGACCACCATCACCTGCAACTCGTCCAGAAATATTACCGGCAACCAAAGAATTGCCAGTGGACGCAAGCCCCCAACAAAAGTAGTAGTGAAGTCCTAAACGCCATAAAGATACTGAAATTCGGGAACGCAGCAGCACCAGATGGAATTCCACCAGAAACACTGAAAATGGACGTAGAGACAACAGTGGAAACGCTCACACCACTACTGCAGAAGTGTGGAAAGAAGGAAGGGAGGAAAGGTAGCTGCATAGTGGGAGGAGGGTTACCTTGTCAAACTCACAAAGAGGGGAGACCTAAGTGTTTGCAAGAACAAGTGAGGAATCATGCTACACCCGTCCACCCAAAGTAAAATATTAAGCCGCATCATCCTGGAGAGACTAAAAGGAAAATGCTCTGGATTCGAAATTACGACCGGAACAGGCTGGCTGGCTGGCTGGCTGGCTGGCTGGCTGGCTGGCTGGCTGGCTGGCTGGCTGCTGGCTGGCTGGCTGGCTGGCTGGCTGGCTGGCTGGCTGGCTGGCTGGCTGGCTGGCTGGCTGGCTGGCTGGCTGGCTGGCTGGCTGGCTGGCTGGCTGGCTGGCTGGCTGGCTGGCTGGCTGGCTGGCTGGCTGGCTGGCTGGCTGGCTGGCTGGCTGGCTGGCTGGCTGGCTGGCTGGCTGGCTGGCTGGCTGGCTGGCTGGCTGGCTGGCTGGCTGGCTGGCTGGCTGGCTGGCTGGCTGGCTGGCTGGCTGGCTGGCTGGCTGGCTGGCTGGCTGGCTGGCTGGCTGGCTGGCTGGCTGGCTGGCTGGCTGGCTGGCTGGCTGGCTGGCTGGCTGGCTGGCTGGCTGGCTGGCTGGCTGGCTGGCTGGCTGGCTGGCTGGCTGGCTGGCTGGCTGGCTGGCTGGCTGGCTGGCTGGCTGGCTGGCTGGCTGGCTGGCTGGCTGGCTGGCTGGCTGGCTGGCTGGCTGGCTGGCTGGCTGGCTGGCTGGCTGGCTGGCTGGCTGGCTGGCTGGCTGGCTGGCTGGCTGGCTGGCTGGCTGGCTGGCTGGCTGGCTGGCTGGCTGGCTGGCTGGCTGGCTGGCTGGCTGGCTGGCTGGCTGGCTGGCTGGCTGGCTGGCTGGCTGGCTGGCTGGCTGGCTGGCTGGCTGGCTGGCTGGCTGGCTGGCTGGCTGGCTGGCTGGCTGGCTGGCTGGCTGCTGGCTGGCTGGCTGGCTGGCTGGCTGGCTGGCTGGCTGGCTGGCTGGCTGGCTGGCTGGCTGGCTGGCTGGCTGGCTGGCTGGCTGGCTGGCTGGCTGGCTGGCTGGCTGGCTGGCTGGCTTCAGGAAGAAAAATCATGTGGGATCAAAATTGCAACGCAACGTTACACTGCGCTACACATCATCATAGAACAGATCATTGAATGGCAGTCAACTCAACTCTACCGCAACTCCATCGACTTTGAAAAGCCTTCAACACCGTCGACCATGAAGGGATTTGTCAGGCAGCTGCTTCAACAATGTGGTTTTAGTGCCACAAATCTTCATCAACCTCATTCAACAGCAGCCATATGACGACACCACATACCGAGTGATTCACAGTGGAAAGCTCAGTGACGCTTTTGAAGTGAAGACAGGTTGACAAGTAAGACAAGACTGCCACCTACCATCACCGATCACCTTTCTGATTGCAGTCAACTGGACTGGACTGGACTGGAGTGGACTGGGTGAGGCAAGAAATCGTGAGGAGCGAGAAGAGGGGCATACGTTGGCTGGATGGATGAGAAGAGCCTAGAAGATTTGGATTTCGCCAACGGTGATGATTTGTGTCTAATGTCTTGTCGTAGAAACTCGGAGATGTACAGGCAACAGCAACAGGTTGGTAGGAGAGGTAGGGCAGTGAAGACGGGACTTCCTTCAGGTGAACGTAGAGGAGACAGAGGTGATGGAGATACCTAACTAACAAAAACAACAACAAGCGCCAATCATTATCAATGGGAGAAATCTAAAGGAAGTAGTCTCTTTCGCCCACCTATCAAGGCAGAATCCTTCCAACCACAGGTGGCACATGCACAGATGAGGATCGTAAAAGAAACAGGCTTTCAATTATCTGAAACCAGTGTGGAGATCTACTGCACTCAGCATATAGCGTGAACAAGATCCAGATTTTCAACACCAACTCAGTCAAGTCAGTGCTTCTTTGTGATGGTTGACAAACTCGGCATGTTACGAAAAGCATTTCCAACAAACTACAGATATGCATGATCAACAGCTGCCACCTACGCTCACTCAATACTGAAGATCAGATGGATGGCCAGAAAGAATGAGCAACAACGAAGTTTGGCTGGCTGGCTGGCTGGCAACGAACCAACCAAGAACCCATCATCCAACAAATATGCAGAAGGAAGTGGAAGTGGAAGTGGAGATGGATTGGATTGGATTGGGCATACACTGGGAAGACCGACTGGGCACATCAGGCACCAGGCCAGGCCGTCGAGTGGAACTTAAAGGGGAGACGACGAGTTGGGCGTCCGAGTGGAGGGTGACATGGAGGAGATGGTGTGAGGAAGAAATGAGAGCTTGTGGGGAGTCGTGGAGCCAGGTTGAAAAGACTGGAGAGAAGAGAGTGGATTGGAGACATGCTACTGAATCCCTATGTTCCATTACGAACCCAAGGTACAAATAATAATATTAATAATTAAGTCGAACAATAAGTTCACCAGTAAAAACCACTCACTATGATTTCAGAAACATAGGGAATTTGATTTCAAAGTGGTATTCATCACTAGCTGAGACCAGTTTGAATACTGTCTGAAAACTGTAAAAACCGGAAGTCTTCGCACCATAGTATCAGACTCGCCAGCAGTGCGCACCCATCACCTCACCGAAAATCTTACCCGGGACGTTCAGGTTTCGTGAGAAGCACGTTACCAATGAGCCACTGGAGAAGAATCTAATGGTTCACATTTTCTTAATTCAATCAATTCGAAATACAGTGCCACCTTCATCTCTTGTCAGTGTCGGAAAT